TTCTAGCAACACAGTTTATCACTTAATGCTGTATCTTATGTTCTCTCAAACCTTTCCAGTTTTTCTAAAACGTTTTACAAATGAAATGACCCAAACAGGATACCAATAAGTAAGAGACAATTTACAAATAACTACAATACAGTACTAACATGACCAAAAAAAAAAGAAAACACTTTGAACAAAGGCAATCTGTCAACCATGTTATGGTCTCCTATACTATGACAGAGGATAGGAGTAGAAAATAATCACCATCTCAGAACTTTTAAAAATTAACTCTCTAGTAGTAAGTTTGCTGTTTCTTTACAAACCAGGAGATCCCCAATCTCCACAGCCGTTGAGCATTTTACAACCTCCCCAACCCAGGTAAGAAAAAGCAACCAAAAAACAAAGAACTCTTCTTACAATGAATTCATTGCAATTATCTCTCCCACGCCAGGGAGGTGGCCTTCATGGGGCCTTAAACTTAATTATCATCTCATTTCTCCTAGAGCCCACTCCTGCTATTAATTATACAATTGCTGAAACTACCTTTTACAATCTTTTATCTCCTTTAAAGTCAAAGTATCATTTTCCTGAGTTACAGAAGAAGAAACAAGGTTGAGAAAAGATTAAGCTGGAAAGCAAAAAAAGAGAACTCTATTTTTTTAAAACAAAATGTAGCTGATAGAATTTGTCTTTTCATAATGTGAGCAAAAATACTTATTTCTAAAATAAAGAGGCATGTGTGAACTGCAGAATGAGAAGACTTTTGGCGAAAAATTAGATTAAAAGACAGACAAAAATACAAAGCTAATGGTAAATGAGGAGATAAAAGATAGGATAAAAAAAAAAAAAGGAGATTACAGTATGCAGAAACAGGGCTGTCATCAGGGGAAACAAAACAGAAATCTGTCCCAAAAAAGGCAGCAGAGTTATGGATGCAAAATACAATTTCATTTTGTTTGTATTTCTTTATAAAGAGAGCAATAAAGTAGCTGTTTGCATTTAGTTTCAGGGAACTAAGAAAAATGGATCTCAGACCATTAGGGTATATTGGGAGAGTATCAAATATTAAGGGCTTTTATAACAAAAATTACTAGAAAATAAGGATTGAGTCAGTAATAAATAGTCATATAAAAGCACCTGTAATTCAACAAGAACTTTTCAAGTTGATCACTATACTGCTCTGCTGATACACTGAACAGTTATACACCACAGAATTATGGGAAAGAAGCTGTATGAGCTACTTCTACCTCAACCTCTTGGACCCATCTGGATCATGGCAGCAGCTTGCAAATTCTAAGGGGCTAAAATACACCCATTACCCAAGACCAAAAACTACTCCCACCCCACCTTGGCTCAATGGTTTTCTCCACTGTGGTGAGGGTGGTTTTGGGAAAGCTCCTCAAATGCCAGGAAACATTGTAATACAAAAAGAAAAAAACAATTCATAAGTACCAAAACTTAACTAACATCTTGGCTTCCCCTTCAAGGAAGACTGGTAGAATGGAAAAGGCACCAGTAATAGGAACCAAGAGGGCTTCCGTGGTGACCGAGAGGGTAAAGCGTCTGCCTGCAATGCGGGAGACCAGGGTTTGATCCCTGGGTTGGGAAGATCCCCTGGAGGAGGAAATGGCAACCCACTCCAGTATTCTTTTTTTTTTTTTCACTCCAGTATTCTTGCATGGTAAATCCCATGGATGGAGGAGCCTGGTAGGCTACAGTCCATTGGATCACAAAGAGTCAGACACGACTGAGCAACTTCACTCACTCACTCAGTAGGAACCAAGAAACCAAGTGTATTCTCCTTGTTGGGCATTCATTCTAAGATGTTTGCTGTACCCCAGGGATTTGGTGGGGTGGGCACCAAACACTGCTAAGGGTTACTAAACTAGGTGACTATGCGCCAGAAGCTGCTGACAGCCATCTCTGCCACCAATGTGGCTAAAAATGAAGCCATGAGAAAAGCTAGTACAACCAACAGATATAGAGAGACATCCCCAGTGATACAACTGAAGAGTCTGGCTCCCATTTCAGTCCCTCCTGCAGATATATTCTCCCTTAAGTTGGTCTGTAATAGGTTCCTGTGACTTGCAAGTAAGTCTAGCCAATACACCTGGGTTCTAATTCCACACTGAACTTGGGCGAGTCATTCCTCATTTATGGACCTTAGTTCCTCATCTACAAAATGGGCTAAATCTAAGGTTTTCAAAACTGTTTTAAGCAACAGAACTTAGTTTAAAAAAAATCTTACTTTGATATTAAAAACTAAAATGATTTTATTCATATAAATGTACTTCATAAGATGAGATTTACAACATTTACTTCTGACCAAAATCAATTAAGAACAACTGGTACTTAAATCTCACCTTGAGACTGAAAATAAAAATGACTATTAGTATAAAATACTAATACTATCTACTAATACTAATACATACTATCAAATGTATGATATTTATTGTATCAAATGTATATTTTACTACAATGACTAAAATCAACAAGAACAATGATGTATGTGTGTGTGTGTTAGTTCCTCAGTTGTGTCCAACTCTTTGCAACCCCTGTCCATGGGATTCTCCAGGCAAAAAACTGGAGTGGGTTGCCATTTCCTTCTCCAAATGATGTATTTGATAAAAACAAAACTTTAAAAAGACTACTGCTGAAAGTTAAAAGTGTTTATTAAACTACCAGGATTCAATTGATTTCTGTAGTGTTTTGGTTGCATAATAGTAAGACAATCCTGATTCAAAAAGAACAGTTGCAAAGAATAACATGGTATTATTTAATCACCTGCCATACCCCCATGATATTATTTAATTTAAAGTGGAGAAAAGCTTTTAAGTTCTGCACAAAAGAAAAGCTGACAGCGCAAGATTTTATTAAATAAATCTCCAACTGGTTAACATTTAGTACATAATATAGTTAAGCATTCATGGGTGTTGGTTTTTTATTTTTTAATGATTTAAATCTCATTTAAAATTAAATCTGATTGCAATTACTAGCTTCACAGAACTCTAATAACACAGATAATCTCAAAACTCTATTACGAAGACTTTTAGTCAGATTCATATACCCTCACTACTCATCAGAAACTGTAATGAAGCAAATAAAAGTAGTAATTCCTCTTCTTTTATAATAAGCCTGCTTTAAAGCTAAGAAAAATTATCAATTCTTATTCACAACTTTAAAGAGTTATGAACACAAATAGTAAATTGTGTCAAACAAAACTATTACAATAATTTATTCAATCTTATTGAGAACCAACTTGATTGGGCAGATCATAGAAGATGCCATTAAACATTCACTATTTAAGAGTACCTGCTTTACAGTTGAGATGAACAACTCTCCATGTCCTAACCTCAAGAAATCAACAGTCCAGCAGAGGATACAATACAGTTAACAACACAGGTTTGAACTGAACAAGTCCATCTATACACACATTTTTTCAATATTAAATACAATACTACATAACTGTAGTTGGTTGAATCTGGGAGATGTGAAACTGGATTCACAGAAACCATGCATACCAAGGGCTGACTATAAATTATACTTGGCAGAGGGTCAATGCCTCTAACCCATGCATCGTTCAGGGGTCAGCTTTACATTCATTCATTCAACAGGGTCATCTCCTCAGTGCCACCAGTCACTGTGCAAGCAACTGGGGCTAAAAAAGTGAACTATATACAAACTATCCCCATCCTCTTCACATTTAGACTTTAACCTAAAGGCAGTAAATAAACCAATGAAGATTTTTAAACAGAGACAATATGACCATTTTTGAAAGATGGCTGGCTACTGTATACTGGAGATAGTAAGCCCTAGGATAGAGAAATCAGTTAGAAGCTACTATAGTGATTACAAAGTAACAGAAACTCAAAAGATGGAACAACAAACTCAACTGAAGTACGTGAAAACAAAAAAACTCCACAGGGTAATGTTGCAGCTCAATCTTAAAAAACAAGGAGTATGCAGACAAGTGAGGGAGTTTGTGCAATAGGAGAAAACTATATGAAAGGTATGTCTGGAAAACTTCAAGTAGGCCCTCACAATGGATCTCAAATAAGGTGAAATCATAGCTAGAAAGGAAGATTAAGGAAAAAATAGTAAAGGATATAAGAAACATCTCCAGGACAGTGGAGAGTGCTTTTAAAAACAGGGCGATAACATGATCAGGCTTACATTTTGGGAAAATTCTTTCAGGGACAGTAGCCTGAAGAAGGTGACAAGGAGTCTAACCAACCAAAAAAGAATGCGTGCTTGCCAACAGAGAGACTACCTCAAAAGTCCTAATCTACCAATTTATCATGACAACGAAAAATGGCCCAAGTAAGTACTCTGAGCTTTAGAAACCAAACAACTGGTAGTACCAAGTTCAGGTCACAATTCAGTTGATACAGTTTGAAACTCAAAAAAAGGAAGTTTCTGCAAATAAAATATTAAAAATGCAACAATGGCAGAAGATAAATTGAATGAAGAGGAAAAAACGGCAACTAAGAAAACAAGGATAAAACAGAGAAAAATTTTACTTCAGGGTAAGAATTACTTCCACTAGTCAATTACATACAGATTCACTTCTTCCCCCCTTGCCCCAGATTCACTTCTTATATGCAACAATAAATTGCGGTTCCAACAAGAAATTCAAAAGTCATGTTTAATTTAAACCATAACGCTTAAAAAAATAACCAAACAAAAACTAGATTAGAAACAGCAACCTGGAACAGAAGACCAGCTCTACAGTAGCTAGCTGGCTTCCTACTGCTTAAAAAGAAATCTCTTCCTGTCTGCTGTTTCCTTAAAGCATACAAACTAAAACAGGGTAAGGCGAGGTGAGGTAGAATAGGGAGCATAGGGTAAAGAAGGACTTGCTATTTCACAAAGGTTTCTTATCAATGAACTAGACAAGGTCCTGAAGCTTTCATCCCAATTCTTTTTCTTTATATAATAGGTATAACTCAGATTCAAATATGCCACCAGATATAATGAGGAATCCAATTATTTTATCTTAAGAAAATGAATCCTACCTTTCCAGGGTCATCCTTGGATCGAGGCACTTTAAGGAAACATTTGTTCAGTGACAGATTATGTCTGATGGAATTCTGAAATTAAAAAAGAAAAGCTATAGGGTCATTGGAATCCAAAAACCAAAACCCTCCTTTAAAAACAGAATCAGCAACCTAAATATCGCTATATGCTGATATATCATTACAAATAGAATAAGCTTTTAAATGAGCTTCAAATTTAAATCTTTCTGATTTTCAAATTATGAATGCTGCAAAGGAAATAGTTATTGGAAAAGACAGTTTCAGTGAATTTTACAAAACTCCAAATAATGGAGTATATGTCCCTTTTTAAATGTTTAGTAAGATCTTTTAATGATGCAGGAAGATGTCTATGATTAATGTTAAATACCAAATAAAAAATTATATGCATATTGTGATTTTAATTGTGGTATGTATTTATTAGCTAATGTATTTATTCTTAGAAACAAGGCAGAATGCAAAATGCTAGGAGTTATTCTACACAGAACTATAAGTGAAGATTATTTTCTTCCTTTCACTTTTCTATCATGTTCAAATGATCTACAAGGCACATATGTTATCACTTTTTAATGAGTTTAAATAGTTGTAAATAAAAAAATTCCACTGCTCCAAAACAAGAGCACATAAAAGCCAACTAGGTTCTCACTACAATCTGTAAGAAAGAAAACCAAACGGGAAGACATGGGCTACACAAGTCAGCAGGAACATGCAGGTTCCCTAATGCAGCAGGAAAGAAAAACCAACTTGGATAGAAGGAAAATGCACTTAGAGGCCTGAAGAATCTGCGAAACAGGTAATCTTTCATGAATAAGCAGGACTATTCCTCAATTTTTAAAGAAAATACCTACAGGCCATTTCTTCTTAATGAAATGCTCCAAAATCTCCAGGAGCCAGTGACTGCAGTCCGGGAGTCGGACCTGACTGAATAGGAACAACAACAACAATGGGACAAGTGTCGGAAGCTGCCCTGGGGCCAGGATTCTACTCTATTACGCCAAGCAGAGGTGGAGGCTGACTACAGATTGCAAAGGGTCGCACAACTACCACTCAAATGTAACTGGACAAACAAAGGTAACTGATCTGGCTGAGGGGGGCAAAAACACTAAAAAAGGACACCCCCCCCCCCACACACACAGGTCCAAGGGCCTGAGTAAGACTAAGTCTGGATCAAGACCAAAAACACAAAACCACTGGACCCTAGCACAAGCCTGGCAGGACTAACAAGTAGTAATCCTACTGATGGAGAAGGGGCAGAAGCATGGAGACCCCCATGTGTAGCAAGGTGGGCAGAGACAACTAAAACCTAAAAAGAAAGCAGGAACACTGAGAAAACAAACCTGTCTTCAAGCACAAGGTAACAGGAGCCTACTGCAGAAGGAATGTAAAGTCTTTGGTATACTAAAGGTAAAGGTACCAACAACAAAACTCAAATCCAGCTCAACTACTGGTAAGAGTAATTCAACTCAGACACAAATGACCTGTGGAAAAAGATCACTGTCCATTTACAGTTATAAATACTACTTACCTCTATCTCAACCATTCTTCTACACATGTAGCTAAAACTTCTAAAGTTGCAAGAGACACGGAAAAGAAGGGGGGAAAAAAAAAACCCCCACTGTCAAAAGATAAAATAATCAGTAGAAATCCCACTGAGAAATGACGCCCATGTCAGAAATATCAGAAAAGAACTTTTAGAAAACTATATGTTCAAGCAACAAGTAGAAAAAGTACACAACTGCATCAATGGGGAAGTGATGCACAACTGCAAAAGATGGGGAATTTCAACAGAGATGTGTAAACTATAAGAAAGGGTCAAATGTAACATGATTTGGTTTCAAAAAACCATGGTCAAAGATAAAGAATTCCCTAGATGGTTCATCAGAAGATGGGACACAATTAGGGAAAGGTTCAGCTATCTTGAGGATAGATCAGTAGAAATTATCCAGACTAACACACATGCATGCAGGCATGCACACAAGCACAAACACAAAAAAATTCATCCAAGAACTGTGTAACAAAAAGAAAAAAAAGAACTGTGTAACAAAACATGTCATTAGGGTCTCAGAAGAAGAAATGAAAAGGAATGGGGCAGAGAAAAATCTGAAGTAGTAACAGTCAAGAATCTTCCAAAAATAATGCAGGACACATCAAATCACAGATGCAAGAATCTCAGAGAACATCAAGCAGAAGGAATTAAAAATGCACACACCTATATTCATTATAGCCCAAATGCTGGAAATCAAAATGAAGTGAACATCTTGAAGGAAGAGGGAAAAAAAGATTATGCACAGAGAAATAAACATCAGAATTACAGCAGATGTCTCAAAGAACTGTGCAAGTTAGAAGACAACAAAGCGACATCTTTAAAATAATAAAAGAAAAAGTCAATTCTATATGCAATGAAAATATCTCTCAAAAATGAAGGCAAAATAAAGACTTTGCAAGACACAAAAGCTGGAAAAATTCACTTTTTGTACCACCAGTTGGCTAGCAATGTTAGATGAAGTTCTTCAGGCAGAAGTATGATACCAAATGGAAACTTGAAACTACAAAAAGAAATGAAGAGTTCCAGAAACTGTGAAAATGAAGGCAAATTTTAAAAAATAGCTTTTTCTTATTTGTAATGCCTTTAAAAGATGACTGTCTAAAGCAAATATAACAGCTTATTATGAGGTTTATAACATGTAAAAGGAAAACATGATAACAACATAAAGGCTGGCTCAGGGGAATCAGAAGTACAGTAGACCCTTGAACAATATGGGTTTGAATTATACTGGTCCACTAAACATACTTTTTTTCCAATAAATACATACTATAGTGGGCTTTCCTGGTGGCTCAGCAGTAAAGAATCCGCCTGCAATGCAGGAGACATGGGTTTGTTCCCTGGGTCAGAAAGATCCCCTGAAGAAGAAAATGGCAATCCACTTCAGTATTCTTGCCTGAGAAATCCACGGACAGAGGAGCCTGGCGAGCCACAATCCATGGAGTTGCAGGAGTTAGACATGACTTGGCGACTAAACCACCACCACAATACGCTACAGTACTACACAATCCAAGGCTGGTTGAATGTGCAGGTGTGGAGCCACGGATATGGAGAACCAACTGTAAAATCATACATTCGACTGTGGAGGAGTCAGCCTGCACTGCCTGGGCTGTTCAAGGATCAACTGTATAAGGTTTATAAAGTTCTCACTCCATACATAAAATAGTATAATGAAGGTAGAGTGTGATAAGTTAAAGATATGGGTGGTAAACTCTAGAATAATTACTTCCTAAAACAAAATTTAGGAAGAGATATAACTAATAATAGTGAAGGTAAAATAAAATCACAAAAAGTACTCAGTCCAAATCCAAAAGAAGACAAAGGAAAGAACTAATCAGAAAAACTACCCATCTAAAAACTTCAAGATGGAACAAAAAAAATCAAGATGAAATCAAAATGGTCATGTTTTCTAAACGGCTTTGGAAGAACACATCTATACTTGGGTCTTCCTCCTCTATAAAAGGCTTAAAAGTTGGAAATCTTCAAGATTCTGCCACTGTTCTTTTTTCATTTCTACCTTTGCTGTCTAGGCAATCTCATCCATAGCCATGGCTTCAATAAATATCTGTTACACTTAAATCTATCTATCCAGATCTCCATACCTTTCTGCTAAATTAACATAAACTTTCAACAATCTACTAGACATCACCAGAAACTCCAACCCAACATGTTGAAAACTAAACTCAATCTTTATTTCCAATGTGGTCTTCTTTCAGTTTCCTCTTCTCTGCTTATTCATATAACTGCTCCAATCAGACACCTGTCAAGCCTCCTTAACTCCTCCCTTCTCCTTACCATCTAAAATAAATCTGTCACCAAATTTTATAAGCCTGCCTTCAATTTACCTTCTTTATTCCATCTCTTCTGTTACCATCTCAGTCTAGGACACCAGTCTCACCAAAAACTAGTGCAATAGCTTCGTTCCTCTCTTTACCCCCTCCAACACTCTCCAACCAGCAGGCAGTTACCTCCTCACAAGGCAAATCTGACTTTACTGTTTCAGTAAATTCCCATTGCACTTAGGACAAAATCTAAAATCCTAAAGCCTCCACAAGTCTTCGTGACCTCACCCTACCCTGCTATCCATAAATCTATACTATCTGTCCTCTACCCTCATCCTCTCCAATGTTCTCTCTCATCTGTAGGCTTTCATTTACTGCAAAAGTTATGGCCTCCAGCCTTCCTTCATTCCCTTCACCTGAGTCTACTCAATCTCCAATTCATTCTTAGTTTAAATGTTAGTTCCTTAAGGAAATCTTTTCTGACTTTCATAGATGATTAGGTCAGGCAAAATGTAGATTTCACATTACTCAATGATTTGTTTAATGTTCTTCCTCCTCTATATTGTATTCTCTATCAAAAAAGCAGTCTCCATAAAGGTAAGGATCTCTTCTACCAATTCAGAAAATGGAATATAATGCTTTTCACATGGGAATCATGTATCTTCTGGAAAAAATACCAAACCAAGAGCATATTCAGAAAATAAAAACACCAAGAGAGCTAATAGAGCCATGACATGTATTTACAGCACACAACAGAGAAGAGATTACTTCAGACCTCACAACCTGGAGACACGCTACATCTAACAACGCTAAGAAAAAAGCTCAAAGAGCAGAGGCAGACGTCATTAGGATGGCCGAGTTACAGGCGGAGGAAAATGGCCCAGGTTACATAACTGGTGGATTTTCCAGCAATCATGTATGGATGTGAAAGTAGACCACAGAAACCTGGAATTGATGCTTTTGAACTGGGGTGTTGGAGAAGACTCTCTAGAGTCCTTTGGACAGGAAGATCAAACCAGTCAATCCTAAAGAAAATCAAACTGGAATATTCATTGGAAGGACTGATGCTAAAGCAGAAGCTCCAATACTTTGGCCACCTGATGTGAAGAGCCGACTCACTGGAAAAGACCCTGATGCTCAGAAAGACTGAAGGTAGAAGGGGATGACAGATGATGAGATGGTTGGATGGCATCATCCTCCAAGAGTTGGTAACAGACAGGGAAGCCTGGCAT